TTTCCTTCCCCTGCACTTGGAAGTGTTAGCAGTGCCATACGCTTCCATGGCAGAATCATGTAAGAGTGCAGCTTTTACTGAAACACTAGATAAGCTTTATGTGTCTTGATTCTCTATTGTAAAATAAGCTCTTGTTTTTATTTACATTTTGCAGCTAAGTAACTGGGCAAGATGAAGCAGGAGTTAATCTTTCTGCTGTGTGCTTTTAGCAATAGCTGTCCTCAACTTGTGCTGGCTCTGAGTGCTGTGGCTCACGTGGCAGCTGGGTGCTGCAGCTTTCAGGTCTGAAGCAGACCAAACAAAGGGAAGTGTAAAGCTTGCAAACAGTATTGCAGGAGGAAGAATAAGAGCAAGAAACGTTTTTCTCAGGAGCAGTACTGGCAGATGATGCATTTTGCATTTGGTGCCTTGTGAACTGTAGCATGATCAGCTGCAATGATAGTCAGTGAGTTTGAATTAGGAAAGGAAGTGCAACTTCTGCTCAGCAGCACGCAGTCATCCTTAAAGCAGCAGTGGCACAGCTCAGGTGGGCTGCAGCACATTACTTGTCCTTCCCTGGTGGAGGAAGGCCCTTATGTTTTCTGCTGCAGGTTTCATTCTGTATAACACTGATGGCCAGTATTTAAAGACAAGTCCAGTCCTGAGCATCAGTGCAGGGTGGTGCAGCAGCACCAAGGTGACGTGACGCCGTTGCTGGAAGGAGCAGCACGTTTTGGAAACCTCTGTGAAGTTTGGCTGTAAAAGAACTGCAGGCAGTGCAAGGAGTTCAGCAAGTTGGGGATTTGTCAGCTAACAGTTCTGAGAAAACACTTGCTGTGCTTTATGGAATCTCCCTTCAAATTAAGATGTGGAATTTGTTTGCTTTGTTTTTCCTTGGCTTTTCAATCTGTTGTAGGTCACTGGGGTAGAATGTTGTAGTATTTCTGCATTTTGAAGTAGACGTTTTAAAACGATTGCTTGTGCTTAAAATGTTAGCATGGTGAGCAAAGCACTTTGTGTTTCTTTTTTCCTTCAGGCTTTTGGATGCATATGATGAGCACCAAGCACTTCTGAAGGAGCAGGATACTTTAAAGAGGAGAGCAGAGAACGGGTGGGTAGCCTGATGTGTAAGCTAACTGGGTGGATGATGTACTGCCCCGACGTATTGTCTGATGCAGAAATACTGCAGGGAGCAGCCTCTGAGGCTGGTGGTTTGGGGTTGGTTTTTATTTTTTTTTGCTACTTTGTGGAATAAATATATTTGTCTTTAAAACTGACTGCAAGAACAAAATGGCTGCTTTCTCGCTTAAAAGCGTACCCTAGGGCTGCACTGAGGGTTTAAATCCTGGGAGATTTCCTCTGTAAGTGATTACAAGTTAGATTTAGTTCCACTAAAACTAAAGAATGCTGGTAAAAGTAACCAAAGCTCCAAGTAGGGGCATGGAGTTGATGTCTCAGTTGGAGCACCAGCATGATTTAAACAGCAGGCTGTTCTGAGGCAGCGTACATCACTGTCCTCCTCAGAACCTTGCTGCATTATCCCGTTAAACAGGATGCTGAATTTGGAAATGCTGCTCACTCCTGTCTGTGGCAGCATTTCTCACTGGCGTGCACAACGTAAGGCAGCCTTCACAGGCATGTGCTGACTTTGCAGATCGGAGGAGCCAGATGAGAAGAAAATGCTCACAGACGAGCAAACCATGGCATCAGCACAGATGATGGATGGAGACATGCAGGTCAATCAGGCAGCATACAACTATAATGCCTGGTATCAGGTGAGGGTTGTTTTTTCTTCCTGCTGCACACGTTTGGATGTATGCAAGCTGTTGTTTTCCTGGGGAGTTCTCTTTACCTGTGGCCAAGTGTCAGTCGTTAAGGAAAGGCTGGAATAAAGCCTCATCTTGCTTTTGTTGCTCTTTATCCTGTAAGTGTAAAATAATTCTCTGTAGCGTGGGGCAGATAACAGCTTGGTGACTCTTCAGATGAAGGGAAGCACAGCAGCACCTAAGGAGAGTTTTCATCATTAACTTCTCTAGCTGGTGCTTCCTGGAACACCTCTGTGTGTGCTCTGCCCCAGTACCTAAAGTGTGTGAGATCAGAGGCTGTTCCTGCATGGCATTTTATCCCCTGTAGGGACACAGGAACGTAATAAGCTTGGTTTCCTCTTGTTGCTGGGCCTGTGGTGCAGCACCTCCAGTGCATGCTCTGCTTGCTTCTACACTAACAGCTCGTTTTGTGTCTTGGCCAAGGGGAGGATTACAAAGTCAGAGCATCGAAACTTGCCCTGTCTGTATGAGGTTAATCCTGACGTTGGATAGTGCTGCTCCTCGTCAGCAGGGATGGGCATCACGTGCTGTGGGCTTGGAGTGCATGGCCTTGTTCTGAGTAGCAGAGGGGCAGCTGAAACGTTTGCTCAAGCAGTGCAATGGAAACTTGTTTTTAGCTGCACGGAGCCCACCAAGCCAATGAGAGCAGTGTTCCCAGATACACAGGCAGCTGTGTAACTTGTTCTAGAACTGTCTGTGTTTTAAGGACAAATGTTCACTCCAAAGCCAGGTGGAGAAAGTTGTGTCAGCTGTGCAGTGCGAGGAAACCAGTCTGTGCTGGGTTAAGGGGAGAAGCCCTGTTGGCAGTCAGAGCCACGGGGGGAGCAGACCTGTGCCCTTCCTTGGTGAAGGTCTCTGCGCTGTTGTTGAAGTGCCGAGTCCATCCCTGAGTGCTTGTATTTCAAATCACCTGGAGGAGATCAGACAGGAGCCCTCTCTGAGCTGATGGACAAAAACATCCCAGGCAACAGTATCTGCCTTGCTCTGTTATTGTAACTGAAGCACAGCTGCTCTTGTAAGGCGGTTCAGAGTTGACAGGCCTTGCACTGCAGGGAACGGCTGCAGCTGTTCCACCCTTTGTATTACTGAGATTCAGGAGCACGCAGAGCTCCAAGCAGAAGGTGTTGTGGATGTGACACAGAGCAACTGACACCTGTGTGGCTGCAGGGGCTGCTGTGATCAGAGCAGCTGATAGGACGAAATGCTGAAGCCCTGTGTGCCTTTCTGGAAAGAAGTGCATCAGCCTAAAGCAACAAGGCATTCTGACTTATTTATCTCTTGTCTTTTTCTGTTCTAGTACAATTACCAGAACGCATGGAATTATGGACAGTATTATTCTCCTTCAACTTGATCAGAAGAGCGAGTGAAGTTCACTGTGCAGTATCAACAAAGAGTAAAATATATTTTTCTAAATTAGGGTTGTGAAAGAACTGTTGTAATACCTGCTTTTTGGTCTTTTGCATGTAAAATGAGCTGATGTTCACAGGGTATGTGTGAAGCAAGAATTGTGTGCTGGTAACTGATAAAATTGGTATCTGTACAATTCTAGTTTACCATAAATGCATTTTTTTTAATTCCCTGCACTAACTTATGGAGCTGTCTGAAGCATTTTGTTCAGTCTCGTATTGATCCCTGCAGAGGGCTGACCCTGGCTGCCCACCAAGCTGTTCCCTCATTTCTCCTCAGCCCACATGGAGAAAGTGTGATTTCCCAACAGAGCCCCACCACCTCGTGTGCTGAGGTCTCAAGGACAGGAGATTGCTCACCCCTAACCACCGTGGGCAGAACAGACTCAGCGTGTGGAAGATGAATTCGTAACAGAGCGGGGCAGTGAGAACTAAAAGCAAACGAGAACACTTTCCTGCCGCTCCCCTTCTTCCCAGCTTCAACGTCTGCCTCAATTCTTGTATCTAAGCCGTAGGATTTCCTCCTCTGCTCCTCCTTCCCCTGCTCTTCCCAGCCCCAGGGTGGCCCCTTCCCTTGCCTTGCCTTCAGGAGCTCCTCCCACGTGGCCGCAGGCATCGATCCAGGACCTCATCTGGGCCGCAGCCCTCCTGCACGGGGGTGGGCCGCTCTCCCTGGGCTGCAGCAGCTCCGCGTGGTCCCTGCGTGCTGAGGCACAGCACCTCCTGCCCCCTGCTGACCTGGGGGCTGCTGCCCACTTTCTCCCCCCTCGCACAGCTGCTCTGCAGTGTGTTTGAAGCCTTTCTTCAGTGCAGGCTCAGCAGTGCAGGTGGTGCAGCTTGCCGACTGCGCCTTGGATGGAGGCGGTGCTTGGGGCGACCCTGCAGGCACCATCCTGCCCCACAGGCCCAATGCGGCGCTGTGGATCTAAGCAGTAAACCTTCCTGTTTTAAAGCAAGCAGTTCTTACGTCTGTCAGCCCCAGAGGCTGCCCCGGGAGAGGAGCAGCTCTTTGCCCTGTTCTGCTCTCCTTCCCAACCAAAACTTCACCCATTTCCATGGTGCGATGCTGTTCTGCCCCGGTGAGCAAATCCCAGATTGCTTTGTTGTAGGCTCGTGGCTGAACCTCTTCAGATGGAGGTGGCAGCCTCTGAAAGCTGTGATGTGTATTTTCTATTCCACGTGGGGGGGTCAAAAATTAAAATGCAGTGCAAAATGATGTTGCATTCTTTTTTTAAGAAGCACAAACTGTGTTTGGGATGATTTTTGTATCTAGAGTTTTTCATGTACACAATGTGAGCAAACTTTTTTCATTTTGATCAAAGTGATCATTCTCATTTTCGTAATAAAAGCAAGGAATTCAGCAGTTCTTGGAGCTTTCTTGGATGTCCTCATTCACACTGAGAATAAATACCAGTTTTGTTCAAAAAACAAAGATTGAGTGCTGTAGTTATAGTACAGAAACACCTCAAACTCGAGGCGGGTCGACATCAGCCCTAACAGTTTGGAATGCATTTAAAGGAGAAGTTTCCCACCTCTAACCAACAGTGCTGAGTGCTGCAGCAGCTGCACTGTGATGAAGTCTGGAGAGAAAGGCAGTGCTGAGGATTTGAGCTCAGGGTCGAAATGAAGGCATTTCAGTTATGGGTCAGCACTGAAGGGACACTGAGGTTGGCAGGGACACTGGCAGTTCAGAGGGGGCTGCTTCTATGGTAACTTTGTGCATTTGAGCTTTGTGCATTTCCCCCCTAGAGCAAGAGAAGGTGGGAGGCAAGCAGACACAAAAGAACAGTTGCGTGTATAAACAATGTTTTCTTTAGTGGTGTGTTACTGTACAGCAGTTGGGGGGAGCAAATCTGATTTCAATACAAGGCCACAGTTGTAGTTATATCCTGAAGTTACGAGAGCAGAACTGCAGCTGTCAGAAGCTTTCTTGCTCAAATGCATTCCCAGCAGCAAAGACAAACCTTCATTTCACTCAATATCCACCAATTCCACTTCAAAGAAAAGTTTTGCATTTGGTGGAATTCTGTTGGCACAAGTTAAGGAAACTGAGCGAGGCGGTTATTAGCTCGTGGGGCTGAGCAATGGTTCAGCACCTGTTCTGCTCAGTGTCTGTTTCACATTTCCTGGCCTGTGTTAACATCCTGACTTCAGTGTGGAACCACAGCTGCTGCTCAACGCCAGCGGTCGCGAGACATTCAGTAGCAGGGCTGCAGGCGAGCTGCTACTAAAACATGCTTTCATTACTGCGATTCCACCTGAAGAGCTGAGTTTTACCTTCACTGCTGGAGTGTTGTCTCCCCTTGTGGGCAAACTGCCTCATTTCGAGATACGCTGCCGTAAATTTGCTCGGACAACACTTCCAGCTACCAGACGTAAGGTTAAAACAGGAGAGCAATCCCTTCCTAATAAGCAGCAGGAAGAGGTGGTAAAAAATCAACAGGACACTCATTCAGCTGTGATTTCAGCCGTATCCAGAGCTGCTGCTCTGCAAGCTCCAACACTACAGCAGCAGCTTCTTCCAGCTACACTGGCTGTTATCTGTGCTTTTGCTGCATTCAGAAGGAGCTGGAGAAAAAAAAGGTAGAAAACAATGACAAACCTTTGCTGCATGCTGGAGTGCAGCAACATGGACAGAAGGTTTTCTTCCAAACAAGTGAGCAGTCGGATCCAGCACTTCGTGACACTTATTTATATCCCCCGGTGCTCTGAGCCTGCTCTAAGCAGCAAGTGAACACTTTGCCCTGCGTCCCTGCCTGCAAAGCACATCCTTCTGCCAAGCTGCATTCCCAGGGCACTTAAAATAGCAGTGAGTTATTGATTGTGAAAGGATACTTAGCATCCGGCTGCCCTTTCTTGCCATACGCCCACTCAGGTTCAATTTCCAGCTGAGCCTTCTCTCCTTTACTCATAGTTAAGAGAGCTTCATCCCACTACAGACAGACCAAAACAAAAGAAAACACAACAAGTCTTAAAGCACCACCAACAAAAAAGCGCGCTGATCTGCTTCTCACCTCGTTTCCACAAAGCTCGGTGTGATAAAACAACTTCTTCCAGCATTTCACCCCCCCAGTGCACGCTGTAAGGCACCTCCTCATTCCTTCCATCTGAGGAAGCATTTACCCACAGCTGCTGTTGGCACCAACCCAATCTGCACCGGCCTGGGCCGTCCAGCACAGCTCAGCCCCACAGATCCATGTAGCAAACGTGCTGCTGAATCAAAGAAGTGAACATGCCTGCTTCAAGGGAACTATGCACGGCCTCAGAACACGTTTTGGAGCTGAACACCGCATGTACAGCACTGAGAGGTTTTGTCTTCTGCTCCGTCTCCACCTCTCAATCTCCCCACTGTCCTGACCACGGATCAGTGCTCATTGAGGTCTGCTCTTAAATGCCAACTTTACATCAATCCTCGTCCTTCTTTGAGACTGCCCTACCAAAGCCAGCAATCATTTGAGCACCACATCAGCATCACAACAAACAGCTGCTCCTCGTGGCCTGTAACCAATGAAGGGCCCTCTGTGCCACAGGAGCATCAAACCCAGTGACTAAAGAACACCCCGCTACTTCTGCAGTGCTGGCCACGTGCCCGAGGCTGCTTCCCCTCCCCAGTTCCACCCAGCAAGGCTGCCTTTCTGCAGAGCAGCTGCACGGAAGGTCACACATATGAACAGATACAAAGTCAGGTCAGCATCAGATCCCTCCTGTATCCTTATCTGCCACAAACAGCCAACTTCAGCACAGGCTCAGCGCTGCTCCGCTCTGTGCTGGAATCTCCCCCACACAGCCGAGCACACCAGTACCTGCGGGCTGAAGATTTAAGCAAGCTGGTGGATCTGCAGAACAGTTCACAGCATCAATAGCACAACTCTGCACAAGACAGCAACCAGAATTTGGAGGCTCAGCACACAAAGCAGCACTGAGGCAAACAGAAAAGATGCTGACAAAAGCCCATCTCCTGGTTGCTCAGAGCACACAGCACTGCGGCAGCTGAGCCTGGGAACCCGATCATCTCTGTGCTGCAGTGCTGTGCACACAGCAAGGGGCTGCGCTCCCCCCGCACCGCTGCAGGTGGATGGATGCACCGGAACGGACCAACAGCACGTCCTGCTGACAGCAGAGCTTTCCCCTTTTCACCTCAGCAGGGAACAAACCAGCTCCAACTCTGCACTGCAGCCATGTAACTGAAGGCTGAAAACTCTTTGGGTCCCGAGGGAATCGGCACTGATTTGTACTTACGCCTCTGATAACTTTTCCTATGCCGACTTTGAAACTTAAAGGTTTGGCTGCTTTCTTCTTCTTTGAACCTGAAAGACAGTTTTACATTTATGTGCTTTAACATCACACGCTGAACTTTATCTGGAATTACTGCTGAGATCATGCTTTAAATAAATACCCATCCTTCTTGTATCACCTCTAGGAACTATCAGATTTTTAAGAGAAAATTCAGTGTTGTGCACTAAAAACACCATTAAATGTTCAGGTTGCACGCTGACACACATCTTCCACATACCGACCCACTGAACCTAAGAGAGTCAGTTCTGAATTATTAGATTCGATGGCACATCTCATAAAAGTGCTACTGAAACAGCAGAGCCAGCAGGGAACTGATTCCGCTGTGAATGCTGCAGAAGTGTTTGAAAGCAAGCAGTGAATCACTGGCAGTGTCTGAGCTCCTCGCAGTGCTGGGAGCACTGCTGGAAGGGCTCCTGGCTCTTCGGTGTCCCCCACCTGAATTCTCCGATTGGGGTTGGAACCAAATGATCTTTAAAGGTGCCTTCCAACCCCCCCATTCCATGAGTGTGCATTATCAGCACACGTCTGTGCTCTGATGCCCCGTCCATCCCTGGAGGTGTTCAAGGCCAGGTTGGATGGGGCCCTGGGCAGCCTGGGCTGCTGTGAAATGTGGAGGTTGGTGGCCCTGCGTGGCACAGGGGGGTTGGAGCTTCGTGATCCTTGAGGTCCCTTCCAACCCGGGCCGTTCTGTGCTTCTGGTGTTCTAGAGGAGACTGCTTCAGAGCTCTGCTGCTCCAGTGCTCCCACAGTGCAGGTTTTCTTACACAAGCACACCAATTAGTGTCTCATCAGAGAAGCTAACCACGCTGCCCTGTTCCACAGATAGGAAAGCTCTCCATTCAGACCCCATCCTTCACCCCAAGCAGCTGCAGCACTGCTGGAAGCGCTGCACTCAGTGCCAGCTGTGGCTGCGGGGACAGCAGAGGGGCAGGAAGCAGCCATGTCACACTGCAGCCCACAGTAACGCCCAGCACCCACACAGCCCAGCTCAGTTCCTTCCACGAAGGCAGGCACAAAGGCTCACAGGGCGCACGCACAGCACACACGCAGCCTTACTGGTCTGGATGTTGGTGTCGAAGACGGTTCCGTCCTGCAGCTTCCCGGTGTACCAGCAGTGCACGGTGTCTCCTTTCTTTGGGAAGTTGGTTTTGTCGCCCTTCTTTAAGATGGATTTGACATACTTCGGCGGCCCCTGATCGCAGAACGGTTCCGATGGCAGCGCTCCGCCTCCCCCCCCTCGCCCGCCCCCCATTTGCGGGCACGGCGTGCGGCTCCCCGGCCGCGGCCTCACCGACCTCCTCCGCGGGCTCCTCGGCCTTCGCCGCTTTCTCCTTCTCCTTCTCCGCCTTGCCGGGCTTCGCTTTCTCCGCCGCCGGCTCGGCTCCGTCCGTGCCCTTGAAGCGCTGAGAGCCGCGGGGCCGCAG